AACCTCCCCGCCCCTGCCCGCGCCCTCCCCCGCGCCCTCCCCTCCCCCTGCCCGAAAAGACACAGATCGCCTCCCGGAGTGGCGCCTCCAGTCGCGGCGGAGCGCGGCGTTGGCGGTGGATGGAGCGCGCGAGCGGGCGGCGGCTGCACCGGCTGCACCCGGCGGGGCGCTGATGCCTGCTGCGGCGCCTGGACCTTCGCTGCGCGACTTCGGGGGTGTCGGCCGAGTTGGCACTCCGCGATGCAGCTCCTGAAGGCGCTCTGGGCACTCGCAGGGGCCGCGCTCTGCTGCTTCCTCGTCCTGGTGATCCATGCACAGTTCCTCAAAGAAGGTAATTGTCCCCCGGCGCGCAACCGGTTCCCCCCACCGGAGCCCTGTGCACCCAGGGCTTCCGGCACCTTCCACCGCCGCCGGGCACCGAGCCCCACCGAGGCTCCATGAGCGCCGCTGCGGGGCAGGAGCGGCCGGTGGCGCGAGCCTACCCCGAGCTCCGCGTGCGATCCGTTAGCGGGTGGCGTGCAGGGCGCGGATGAGGCTGGGACTGCTCGGGCCTCACCACCTCCTGTGTTTGTCCCCGAACCCGGGCCAAAGCCCAGGATGCCATTCCCATCCTCTGCCCCGCATGGCTCGGTGGCAGTGGTGCCTGCCCGCATGCCATCCACTCTCGGTAGGTGGCACCAGCGCTCCACTTTGGTTAACCTGGCTGGGGCCAGTGCTGAGCCTGGCCTGGGCTTGAATGGGTTGGGGGCTGGGGATGCAAAGGTGTCAGGCAGAGGACTGTGACCATGTACATGTTGCTTTCCAGAAGGGCTTGGGGACCTATGGCCCCAGGCTAAGTGAGCGGAAGTCCTCATCTCCAGGGTGCCTAGCCCCACTCAAGTTCTGGCCCCTTTGCCCTCCTGGTCCCCTCTAGATTGCGGGGCTGTCTGGTCCAGGTCTCTGGACTCGGTGGAGACTGTTCAGGTTGAACTCAGGTAATCACTGTGACCTTTTGGGGATGTGTTCTCTGGCCTTTGGTTAATGTCCTGGCAGGCAGTTTTGGTGGGAGCCCAGGACACCCCTTTGGAAACTTCCTGGCTTCTGGTAGTTCCTCTGGCTCACTGTCTTGGTCTCCCAGCTTTGATACCTCTGGGCTCAGCCTGCCCTGCCAGTGTGGGTGGGAACTGAGGTGCAGCTTCTCATGTGTTGCTGCTGTAGGGTGTTGCCTGGTACCCTTACCCACCCGTGGCCATGCCAGCAATGCCTCGTGGTCCCTTAAACTGTCAGGGAATACTGAGCACTGGAAAGAGCCCATGTGAATTCCCGGTACAGCTGTCCTCACTAGCTCTCTGCTGCTAGAGGAAAGGCTGGCAGCCGCCTTTGGCTTCCCAGCCTGAGGAGATCCACCTGGGCTCTGGGAGCACCTGTGGCCTGCTCCACAGCCCCTTGATTTCAGGGGCTGGTCTTGAGAAGCAGAGGAGGGAGCTGGGAGAGACCAGCCTGTTGGCTGCAGGCTGGTGGGCCTGCTCTGCTGAGGCTCACTGTTCCTTCCTGGAGTTGGTTGGACCCCGTGTTTCTGAAAGCTTAGGTGAGCCGTTTCAGGAGTGGGTGGTTCTGCCTCAGGGCTGGGGTCCTCTGCTACCGGGATGGCTCTTTCTGGCCAAAGATTCTTTTCCTCCAGGCACTCTCCACAGTGCCTTCCTTAGTTGGTATCGCCTTGTGGGGGTCCATCATACAGTACACCCCAGATACCAAGTCATGGGGTCCCTGTGCTTCAAGACCTTGTTTGAACCCCAACTTCCCTGCCCTTCACACCACTCTGTTGACCTCTGGGGGCGTCCATGCTCTTAGTAAGTCAGAGCTTCTCTGAGTTAACTAAGACTACCTGAGTCACTGTGCTGTGATAAGCATTGATTTGTGACCGCAGGAGGTGCTGGCCATTTAGAGACATGTGGCCCAGTGGGTGGGTCCCTTCTGCCTTGCTGGGTGGGAATGGACTCGTTCCCGAGGTATCCAAGCTCTTGGACTCTGTCTTTTGATTAAGAGGAAAGTTCTTGTGACTTAGGTGGCTTAGGCAAGGTCACATGAGCAGTATGCTTTAGCAGTCCTGTTCTGGAATCGAGAGGACTGTTCCCCTCTCCTGGGGTGGCAGGATAGCCCTTCACAGCAGCCTGGACATATGGATGTCCATGCTGTGGCAGATGATGTGATAAGGAAGAAGGTAGGATGTGCTTGGCATGGGGGTCTGGGGACCTGCCAAAGACACAGTGTCTTTGAGGCAGCTCTTGAGGAAAAGTCTAATTGTTTACTTGGCTGTGTAGGGCTTGTGAGCCCTGTTGTCCACCGCTGCTGGTCTTTGTGCCACTGGGTCCTGGTACCCTGAACCTCATGCCTCTGTTGGAAAGGTCGGGGTGACATCCCTGTCCATACTGCAGTGGCTTTTTGGCCCCTAAAATCAGGGGCCAGAGCCTCAGAATGGGCCTTGGTGTGCGGTGTCTGGATACACTTCCCAGGGGAGGCACAGGGCCCTTCCTGGAGGACTGGGCTGTAGACAGGAATACACTGGGGATGGGGGGTGGCAGCGGGGACAATTGTGACTTGTTCCCTGGGGTTGGAGTGGGAAAGAGCTCTTTAAATAGCCATTTCCATGAATCTGGTTTCTTCAGGGGTGAAGAATGGGGGGCCCAGGGAGCCATTTTTCTATACTTTGCTTTTGTGTGGAGATACAGGCCACCCCGTGGCTAATCCATCCCCCTCTGGCTGGTCTGCCTTGCAGCGATTGCGAAGATGAATAGGACTGTGAACCCAGAGTCGAATTATGGTCCTAATTGCAGCCCTGGCTTGTCCAGTCTCTGTAAGAACAGGTCTTGTCCATCCGGCCTGCTCACCGAGGTAGTCAGTGGGTTGGGGGTGGGTGAGCCTAGCTAAAGTATGGCGTTCAGGCATCGGAGTGGGGGTCCCAACCATCCTCCGGGGAGCTCATCTGTCATGCTTGTGAGGGCCTGTGTGGACTGTCTTCTATGAGCTAGGACAGGCCAGAGCCGGTTGCTTCATGGAAATAGAAGGGGCGTGAGATGTAAGTTAAGCGGAGGTGAGAGACCGTCCCTGCGCTTCCTAACCTGTGATCGCAGGATGTGGCGTTAGGCCTACAGCTGGAATTAGGAAAATTTCCTCTGCTCAGAGATTTGAGGTTTGACTCTTTTCCTTACAAATCCTTTTGACGGCAGGGCGAGTATTGCATAGACCAAGCGTACTACTAAAAAGCCTCCTTCTCGGGGTAATATTGAAGACTTGCTGGGGAGTTTAGTGCCTGGTTCCAGCCCCCCCCCCCGACACAATGCCCTTAGCACTTTAATTCCTGGGTACTTTCAGAGTCCTTTTTCACAGTGTGCCTTTGGCAGCCACTCTGAGGGCTGACTGTTGATTGAGTAAATAGGAGTCAACTTTAGTTAATTATTTTAGAAGTCAAGCAGCGTTCTGTGAACGTGCGTGTCCAGACTGAGGGGTACACTCAACTCTGTCAAGCACACCAGCAGTATTGTGTTAACTCTGACTCTGACGGGTCATTAATTGGTACCAAATGTACAAAATTCACAACCATCCCAGGGTACATGTATGTGTTACATCAAGTCAGTTTGTTTTTATTTTTACATTTGCGTGTGTGCGTGCCTATGTGTTATGTGTCTCTGTATTTGTGCATATGCACGTGTGAACTTTGCATGTAGAGGCCAACCTTGAGTGTTGTTCCCGAGGCATTGTCTGTCTTTTGAAACAGCATCTTACTGGCCTGCAGATTGCCAGTTAGCCCACCACCCCTGCTTCTCCAGTTCCTAGGTTAAAAGCACATGCCATCCTGACAGGCTTCCTTCGTTCCTTTTACCCTCTGTGAGTTCTGGCCTCAAACTCGTATCCTCACACTAACAAGGCAAGCACTTTCCTGATCAAGCTATCTCCCCAGCTGTAGAACAGTTTATTTTTTAAAAAACGAGCAAAGAATTTGGGAAATGCATCATAGTTCTGGACCCTAAAGAATTCATAAACACTATCAATTGAGTTCTTAAAATTCCTGCTATAGATATGTGCATGCATGTTTTCTGAAACAGCCTGTGGCCCTGGGGAGGGACTGGAGGGGCCCATTTGGGGTTGGGTTCCCTGAGGCTGTTTGGAGCAGCCTGGCTGTTCTTGGAGGAGGCTGAGCTGTGCCTGGCTTCTGCTCAGATCCTATAATAACAGGGGTGATGGGAGGCCTGAAGCCTGAGTGTTTAAGGAAAGGGATTTCGGTAGCCCCTGGAGCCGTCCTCAGCTCCCACAGCCAGGATGGCCTCACACCCTGGGGCTGCATACAGAGGGGCTCCAGCCTCACACCCTGGGGCTGCATACAGAGGGTCTCCAACTTCACACCTGGGGCTGCATACGGAGGGGCTCCAGCCTCACACCTGGGGCTGCATACAGAGGGGCTCCAGCCTCACACCCTGGGGCTGCATACGGAGGGACTCCAGCCTCACACCCTGGGGCTGCATACAGAGGGGCTCCAGCTTTGCCTGGAGCCCTCACGGGATCCCCAGAGCTACCTTCCTGACCCTTCTCGGGTTCAGAGCTCTACTAGGGATGTGATGGGCCAGGGCATGGGGCCCTGCCCGTGCCGGTCCCCCGCTCCTCCCTACCTAGCTGCCTGCCAACTTTCTGAGAGGCCAGGTAAAGCAAGGACTGCCGGGGAAGGGAGGGGTGGCAAAGGCGTTCAAAATAACCGGCTCCTTTATCATCACTTACTATCGCTCCTCCTGTGACACAGAATCTAAATAAAACCCACACTCCCCATAATGGGATTCTCATCGGCTGAATGTCTGAGAACTGTAAAAGTTAAAACATGAAGGGGTTGGCAATGGAGGTGACTGCATGCTGGCTCACCACGGCCCGAGGAAGGCGGGAGTCTGAAGTCTGATTTCCCCAGCTCTCCTGAACAGGGCAGGGAAGGCCTTTCAGAGCTGAGTGGTGGTAGGGCTGAGCTGTGCTGGGATGTCTGTCGGCTGTGCACTCAGGTGGCCTGGCCCCAGGGCTGCTTTTCCCATCGAATCTTTAGGCCTGCTTCCTCTTCAAGCCAGGCCAAGGAGGATTTCTGCCTCTCCACCTGGACAACCTGTGACTTCTGCTCCTGCGGCAGTGCTGAGCACCACACGGGGTCACCAGCAAGGGAGAAGGCCAGTGGCATTGGCTCTGGTGGGCTGGCTGTGTGGCTTAGCCCAGGTGGCGTGTAGAATGTGTGTATGTGGTGTGTATAGCTGGGTATATGGGGATTCAGAACCGGGGTCTTAGGATATCCATGATGACTTTTTTATATGCAGGTGTTTGTGT